GTTCCTGACTTGATGGCCACATCTATGGAAATTTAATGTATGATACTTTCTAATTTTTTTTAAAAAGAGTTCTTTTTTAAAAAAATTATTTATTTATTCATACAGAATTGGGGTACAAGCCAGAGGTGCAGGGGCAGTGAGAGGCTTCACTAGAGACAGAGAGGGAAGCAGAACAGGCAGATCAATGAAGTACCCTGCTGAGAAGAGCAGTGGGCGGGTCAGGAGAGGTCTTCACTAAACACCTCTAAGCTACTTTTATGGGGAAACTGGGAACAAAATTCTGATCCTTAGAGTGACACGACTTGCTATTGTCCAAGAAAAACTTGCTGTGTTGTATCATGAAAACCTGGAGAACAGTTGCTACTTCATCATTTTAGTTTCAGATAGGTTAAATATTTCATTTCACCCTCGGTGTCTGCCAATTACTGGAATTGTGTAGTGATTTGTTCTTAGCATAATTTTTAAAAATTAAAAGGGAATCCAGATCAAGTATCCTTTGAGCTCTGGGTATTTTCATAGCTGTTGGGAGACTGTGCCCACCTCGCTCTCCCTCCCCTCAGATTCAGTTAAGAGACAGACAGACTCCTAGTGATGAAGCGGATTACTCCCCCTGAAGTGCTTTTCCTATAAAGAAAAACAAACTCCCCTCAATTTTGTAACTCCAAGATCTTTCCCTTCAATGACTCAGAGACCTGGAAGTGCATAGGGATTCAGGGCGACAGGACATCTGGGATCTGAATTCTTGATCTGTCCTGTACGGCTCTGCTCTGTCCAGCCTTTAGGGCCAGCCCAGCCCAGCCCATTCCAGGGGGTGGAGCCTGCGCCCCAAGGTCCACAGATAAAACCGTCCAGATGCGGGAATTGCCAGACCTCGTAGCCTCAGCTGGAGCCTGGGGTAGGTCCTCAGGATCCTTGAAGGAAGGTGCCCCTCTCGTCACACCACCTTCCCACGCAGCCCGTGCACCCCTCAACATGGCAGCCCCGACGCGGCTTCTGATCCGCGGGGGTCGCGTAGTCAACGACGACTCCTCGCAGGTGGCCGACGTGCTGGTGGAGGACGGGGTGATTCGGGCGCTGGGGCGCGATCTGCTGCCGCCTGGGGGCCTTCCCGCGGGGCTGCGGGTCCTAGACGCATCCGGCAAGCTGGTCCTGCCCGGAGGCATCGACACGCACACGCACATGCAGTTCCCATTCATGGGCACACGGTCCGTCGACGACTTCCACCAAGGCACCAAGGTACCGCCGCGCCGGCGCCCCAGAAAGCCCCTCGGGGCCTCCGGCCTCGTCCTCCGGAGTCTGGAGCCCGCCCTGCGCTCTGCTCTGCGGAGGGACTGGGTGGGCAGGTGCAGGGTTGGGCGGAGAGTCCCGCTGCTGAGCACCTCTCTTTTAGGTTATTCTCAGTAGCAGCACCCCAGCTTTGGCATAGCCCTACCTTTTGCAAATAGGACAAGTTCCAGGCCACTTTGTCTTACCTCATTTCTTTACACGTTGCCCTTGTTTTCAGTGGTGCGCTAGGGGAGTCCCCTTACTTCAGTGGTGTTAGAACGTCTAATAGCATCGTGTGCTCAGTAGGTACTGGAAGCCGTTTCTTAGCCTCCAAGTGAAAACTCTACTCACCTCACAGTTACTGCGCGCACTGGAAGCCGTTTCTTAGCCTCCAAGTGAAAACTCTACTCACCTCACAGTTACTGCGCTGACTCAAAGTTGGCATTGGTTAGTGGGGGCTGAGGAGTCCATCCTCCAGTAGGAAAATTACTAGTGAGGACTTGGAATATTCTAGAAATGATCTCCTAGCACTCCCACTTGCACTAAAGTCATCTGGTCCCATCTCTTCCTCTCTGCTTGCCCCAGGACAACAGATTAGACTCAGATTCTGCTGTTTAAACACCGTGGCTTTACTCCTGTTGAAGTAGGGTCAGGTTACTCAGCCCCAGGTGACTGGGGCTTAGGTTTCTCTCAACACAAACCCCTGGAGGCTTAGGCTGAGGAAAAGAATCTTAAACATTCCTCCAAAGCTCTAGGAAACAAGATCAGAGATGAGGGGGCAGCCCCACCGGGAACAGAAAATTAAAACTCACTCTCAGGGCTCCGGTAAAGCCCCACCCACATCGGCCTGGAGGCTGGAATGGGGCTCTGAATGACAGGAATGACCCCTTCTAACAGAGTATTATATCTTCGGCCTAAGCAATTCACTCGGGGGTGCGCTGCAGGGGTTCCCTCCCCCCCCCCCCCCCAAGGCCCTGCCTTGATGTGTAGGAAGCAAAGCCTGTTACTCAGCCCTGGTATAGGCTGCACAGACTTTCAAAGTAGTGGATGTGGTGATCCTACTGGTTTCTAGCAGTTGTATTCACCGTATCCCCTCTCCTTCCTCTGCCTTTCCGGGTCGTCTAAGATTAACCAGAAAGTTTAACAGAAAAATGAAAGATTTGACCCCGAGAGAAGGGAATGGGGACAGACTGATCACACCAACAATTGGAAAGTTTCCTCTGAGTTACTAATTATCAGCCCTTGTCAGGGTCACGGTCAAAGTCTTGTGTAGGACAGATGGTCATCTGTTCTGAAAACTGAATATTCATTTTTCTCTTTTGCTAAGAAGTGAAATTGGCTAAATTTTAATGGCTTTACCCTTTTTTTAAAAATTTCTTTTATTTAGGTATACAGAACTGGGGTACAGGGTGCATACAGAGGAGCAGGGGCAGTGAGAGGGTTCCCCAGAGACAGAGTGGGGAGCAGAACAGGCAGTTCAATGAAGTACACTGCTCAGGAGAGCAGCAGGTACGTCAGGAGAGGTCTGCTGCGCCACGTGGATCATCTCCAGGGCTAGGAATCAAAATCGCACTAAGGCAGCTCGCTTGTAGTGTTGCATCCTAACGTCCTAACGCGTTGCACCAGCAGGGAGAGCCTGGACTTACTTTCATATTAATTTTTCAGATATCAAACCGTACATAATTATAGAAAAAAATAGGAGAAATAATAGTAAAGTGAAAGAGGAAAAATAATACCTTTAATGTCCCATTCAATAAAAGCCATTGTTTTAGTGTTAGGAAGTTACTTTGCCCTCCTTTCTAGAGTTTTCACAATTATTCTTAAGTCGATGTTGGTAGGATTTCTGATTTGGGGGCGAGGGGCAAGGAAGTCATCTGTAAATGTTGGGCATATTACATATTGTTAAAAGGTAAACGGACACATATTTTCATTTACTTGAGCAAAAAATTCACTCTAGCTAGGCAGTATCAAAGCAGACGTAATTAGGGGGACTATACCACAGGAGCAAGTGGATTTGAATGGGGAAGAGACAGAGCAAAGCTGGAATTATTTGATGGGCTGTAGCTTCAGTGTTGGCCTCACCTGGGAAAGCTTAGTTGGCTGAGATTGGTTGTCTGTAAGTTTTTATGTCTTACCTTTAGACATTTACAAGTTTAAATTTTGGTTTGCTTACATGGACTGTTAACCTATTAGAACCTCCTCCGTGTAATGACTTCCTTACTTAATCAATTTAACAATAATAAATTTAAATGATCCATACTATTAGTATTAAGTAAATTTACTTTATCAAGAGATGGTGGTAAACCAGGCACTGAGTTAAGCTGTGTATCACCTTCCACCATCCCAGATGCCACGCTCTGCTTTTTACTTTCAAGGAAACACATTTAAATCATTTGCTTAACATCATACACAAAGTAAGTGGCCAAGATCTTCTTACATTCAGGACCACCTGCCATGATGAGAGAGAGAGAGAGAGAGAGAGAGAGAGAGAGAGAGCGAGAGAGAGCTCTTAGGAACCAGGCTTTGTTCCTTCTGAAAAACCTTCTAATGTTTAGATTGTCAGAATGGCAGTGATGGATAAAAAACTGCATAGGTCACAGGCTGTGAGTGGAAAGTGGCTTTTCTCATAAAAAGAGCAGTCATCCTAAGAAATTAAGTAGTCCTTCACCCTCCCAAGGCTAGAAGCAGTCAGGGTTATCAAAAATAAATATATAACCCAGATATTAGATTTGTGAAGGATTCAAACATGCATTAATAGCCACATCACCTCTTAGGGTACTTTGAGGGGTGCTTTGAGGATAGAAAACTATAAAGTAAAAATGATATATCATGCTCTCAGGAGATGGTCCTCAAAAGGTTAAGCCAATAGCTGTTTGCTTTCTGTATCCACCAGGTTGATCATTTCTAACATCTGACAAATAAAAGGGAGAACATCTGTGGTATTCTATTTATTGATCACTAGATTGTGATGGGACCCAATTTAAAAAAATGAAATGTAGGTCAACTGAAGGTTACATAGTCTGTATGTCTAATTCATGTCAGAGGTTGGTTCAAAGCCTATCATTGATTCATTTAATTGCAGGTAAAAGCTTTCTATCTGATGTTATTCATGGAAATAATGCCCTGCTTTAAGGAACTCATCTTTCATTGGCTTGGTCTGTATAAGATATGCAGTAGTCTTCGAATAAGTCAGTGTCCGTGAGGAAAGACAATGGAGCTTTTATTCAAATGGATATTGCAAGTTAGATAAACATGAAGGAATTATGACTTTGCTTTTACTACATCCTGTAATAAGAGAATGAATTACAAGAGCTCACTAGAATGCAAATATATATAAATACATGGATTTATATTCAGACATCTGGGTAGCTTGGGATCAATGGACTCACATTACAACCTTGGCAGCTTCAATAGCTAGCAGGGGATTATTTTTTAAAAAATTGGGAAAACTCACAGAATACTTTTTTGATAAAGGATAAAGAGCCCTCCAAATTACTGAGAAAGGCAATTGTGCTTCTTTCTGGGACTTTTTAGTAAAATGCCATGGGGCTGACTACTTATAATACGATAGTAGAAGTTATATGATTGAGCACAGATTTTATGGTTGTATTTACAGTGTCCTCACCTTGTAGAAGGGCTGCTCTCCAGAAAACTTGATTTCAAGCCAAATTCCTTTTTCTGTTGCTTGCCACAGATCCAGGCAGGGCTGTAGGAGATGTGTGGGCTGTTGTGTGGCCCTGGGCAAGTCTCTTCCTCTCTCAAAGCTCAGCATTTCTTGATACTGAAATGGAACCAGGGCCCTCCCTCTGGCACAATGGGTTAGGGGTTAGGACAAAGCACTGGAAGCTTCCCATTCCCCGGCCCCATCCCCCCATACACACTTCAGTGCAAATTCAATCCCTGCCCAGAGGTGACCCACATGGTGCGGCAGACCTCTCCTGTCTCTCCTGCTGCTCCCCTCAGCAGTGTACTTTGTCAGTATGCCTGTTCTGCTCCCCACTCTGTCTCTGGTGAATCTTTTCACTACCCCTGCACCTCTGGCCTGTACCCAAGTTCTGTATGCATAAATAAATTAATCTTTAAAAAAAAAAAGAAGAAATGGAGTCAACTGTAGAACTTCAATTAAAAAAAAATGTTTTCAAAAAACTAATAAAATAACATATAGTCCTCATCCAAGAAAATGTTGGAGGAATACAGTCACAAAATATATACGAATTGAAGGAAGAAATTGTTCCTTTTAGAAAGGAAAATACAGAAGCATATAGACAAAAGTATGCTTAAATCACTATAATTTTAACCCTTTGCTTCCTCTCCTTTCAGGTTTCTCTTTGGGGCGCATATGCTACTAAGTTGTGTATGTTCTTTGGAGCCCGCCCTGTTCATTAAAAATTTCCGCTTCCCCTTAACTATCTCTGAGGTAGAAAGGAACTCAAAGTTCTCCAAAGAAAGAGGGTGTCCATGGCAATGGGGTGGGGTGAATAAGTTGGGAAAGGGGTGACTGCATAGAAAGCTCAGCTTTAGATAAAGTTGAGTAATAGTGTCTTGTCTTCAGCTTAAGAGCAATGGGAAGTCAATGAGATTGGAAGTGACAAGCATAGCTGGTCATGAAGTGGCTACTGCTTTAGTCCAGTCAGAAGATGAAGGTAGCACTGGACAGTGGAGGTGAACACACACAGGAAGTAGAGACCCATGGGATATAAGAGGAGGCCTGGGTTCTGACAGATTGGATAGGAGGATGTTGGGAGAGAGGTATCTCTCTGAGGTGACACTCTGAGGTTTGTCCTGTCAGATGGATTTGATGGTCTTTCAAACGTAGGGCAGCATGGGACTAAGTGTAGAGAAAGCATCTTTCCAAAGCTGAAGTGCTTCTGGAGTTGGAACACATATCGGGATCCTGAAGTTTGTTTTTATAAGTTTTGAAGACTAAGAAAGCTAAAATGTCAGCCAAGTGATTTTCTCCCTGAGACTCA